AGATTAACCCTCATGTCTACCGCAATTTCCTACCTAATATGGCATTTGGGGTTATCGAAAATTAAAATCAAGGTCCCAGTCGATTTTAGATAATAGCCAGATCTGACCCTCTTTTTCCCACCTAAGGGCTGTACTTTTGCATTTGTGATGCTCGGAGGGTAAATGACAAACAGGCAGAAGATTTTCGATAAATGTGAACTCATCTAAAAATAAGTTCCATGTGTACTGTTTCGATATTTTGATGGCCTCAGCCGCATTTTCGAAATGAAAATCATTGCAAGTTCAAGTTCGACATCGATTTTAGAAATTATTAAGTTTCGATCTACATTTTCTCAGAGGGCAAAAGACCTCCAGACACGTTTTTGTTTTACGTTCCATATACATGTCCCGATACAATTTCTAAATTTTAGCACCTTTGACCCATTTTCGGTTTCTCAGAGAATAGGAACCTCATCGTATTTTAACATATCCGCCATATGTAAAAAATTCGAATCCATTTCGCCGACTTTGTTTTTGTACCTAAATTCTAAGAGACTCATGGAAAGGCCTTCATAAATTTCGCATATTGGCCATAATTTGGCCTTTCGGATTCGAAGATGCCAAAAACACATCCTAAAAAATAATTAATAATTAAAAGGTCCATATTTTAATATAGGCTCCATTTGTAGATCCGTCATCATTATAGGTACTCGACATTCCTAATCACATATCACAACCAATGTTGTACTAATGTGAAAGTTCAATGTCTCTCTTTATTTAGATTTCGGTGATAAGTTCCTGGCAGTTGTCAAATCCTCAAATTATGTACCCAATAAATAACCTAATGGCAACCCTGATTGCAATTGCATCTTCTTCATGTTTTCGTCTACTCTGAGTTAATGACTCTTTCCTGAATTTCGTTTCCGATTCCCATTTTCAAATGATTTTGCCTTTATTGTCGTTGCAGCAATATTCATCTTGTTGTTGCTGTGTGTGTGCGTTTTATGGTAAATTGGTATTAGATTCCGGCATCTTTTCGAACGCCAAACTCAATGACCTCTTCATCGTTTACTCAGGAGAATAGCTGGTAATATAATTGTTTCTAGATAGGAAGAGTACACACAACGGGTACATACCCCGCATCACTACTTAGAAACATTATGTCCTTATGTGTGTGCGTATATATGTTCACATTACGATGCCGATTACTTACTTATAATTGTTGGGCAACGTCGTTGGTAGCTGTCTTCCCTTTTCTTCTTAAGGAAGGGGGTTGGACATCCTATTTGCCAATGTGTACACACTTTAAGTGGTAACGAGTTGAGTAATTACTTTATTTGATATTGGCAGATTTGCTGGGGGAGAAAAAAACTCTTACACACTTTACTTCCCCTTTTCTCAGACCCTCTCTCTCCGCTGCAGCCTCTTAGCAATTTACTGCAGACATTCAATATTTAATGGTCATGAAAGCAAAAAAATTCAATAAATGAACAAAAAAAGCCCCACAAAACGTAAAGAAAACCAAAAAAGAGATGGAGGGGCAGACAACATACCCTCCAACCATAAGATTTATGTTTACAGAAGATTTTTAATTAAAAAGAAAGTCGGTAATCATAAAAACGAAGGAATAATAAATACAACTGGATATATTTTTCCGCATCTTCTTATATGATGCAATACTAAGAAAGAAAAAATAATGCAATACAATCCAACAAAATTAATTATGAAATTAATGAAAATGTATTTTTATGTTTTTATTTACACACTGAAGAATGTGGTGCTGAGGAGGGGGTTGTTGGACGTATGGAACATGGTATTTTGTGTAATAGTGGGGATTATCATGTCTTAATGTGAATTGAGTTTAATAATGGATAAAAATATAAATTGATATCCAGTAGTGGACTCAATATTCCTCTAATATGATGTAAAGGGAAGATGAAAATTCATTTGGAATGGTTTTTGGATCTAATCTCCAAGTCCACATTAGTAAAATCCAAACACCTCTTATATGAATATCCGTTTCAATATGTAATAGCAATATGTAATAACATGTATCCGAATATCCGTTTCAAATATTTAGATGTTGGCATAAAAATATATGTGTTCAGCAAATAATATGGGTGAAAACGACAGCTTTCAAAAATTAAAAAAAGTTATTCTGAATTTATTGAACTACATACATGAAAGGTTTCGATTTCTCGCCATCTAAAATATTATGAACAAAATTTTTGCAGAATATTGCGAGGATAAAAATTTGACATCTTGTCGTGATTGGAGTCATGTTTAATAAATTAAAGATGAAAAGGACACACAAGGAATCGAGTTAGAAACGTGGACCAACTGCTAAATTGCAACACTTATAACTGTCTTCATCCAAATTAGAAGTAAAATGCCAATTTTCATCGAATTTGGTTGAATATTAATGATTTTATAGCGCAAATTCAAGATCCTTTATTTATTCGGGAGATATACCAAATCTTAGTCCCATCTTTTCGATTATATGTCATTTGCTTTCAAGGCCAATAATAAGCATTTTTTCAAAATTTCATCCACCTACGTCAACTCCTTCCATTTTTGCCCGCTGTTAATATGAACTCCCGACATAGTGTGCCATATCTCCGAACTTGGACCTAGGACCTATAGGTTTTTTTCATAAACTCACCAAGGTCTTTCATCCCCAAGAGGAATTTTCCATCCTCGATTTTGTCTTGCAATGTTTTAAATATTGGTCTATGATTCGGATTCGAATATAGTGGGGTATATTCGGTATATTGAAACCTTTGAGCACGCTCACATATAATGGGACCCCCCAATATTCGGTATTTCAGAGCTGCGCCCGTTTTTCATCTTCATCAGCTGTAATTTGATATTTTGAGTTCTCACTGGATAGAAACCATTCCCACCAAAAATTATCAATATTGGCCATATTTTTATGATAGCCCCCATATAACCCAGCAAACCAAATTTCTGTGTTTTGGTGAAGTCTTTCAGCCAAATTAATTTAATTTTTCAGGTCCTCATGGGGTGTTAAATCTTCCTATCCCCAATATTCGGTATTTCAGAGCTGGGCACGGTTTTCATCCTCATCAGCTGTAATTTGGTATTTTGAGTTCCAACTGGATAGAAACCATTCCCACCAAAAATTATCAATATTGGCCCTCTTTTTATGATAGCCCCATATAACCCAATAGACCAAATTTCTGTATTTTGGTCAAGTCTTTCAGCCAAATTAATTTAAATATTCAGGTCCACATGGGCTGTTAAATCTTCCTATCCCCCAATATTCGGTATTTCAGAGCTGGGAACGTTTTTCATCCTCATCACCTGTAATTTGGTATTTTGAGTTCTCACTGGATAGAAACCAATCCCACCAAAAATTATCAATATTGGCCATATTTTTATGATAGCCCCCATATAACCCAATAAACCAAATTTCTGTATTTTGATCAAGTCTTTTAGCTAAATTAATTTAATTATTCAGGTCCTCATGGGCTGTTAAATCTTCCGACCAAAAATTATAACTATCAGTTTAGGTTTTAGTGTAGCTCACACTTAATGTTTTCGATCAATTTCGATATTTTAAAGGCTTTGACTGCATTTTCCACCGATGTGGCTGAAATATGGTGTCACGAGTTCTTGAAGGAGTGTCGCCCCCATTGCCAATATTTTGAAGGCTTTTCCCATTGCAATGGCTATATTATTTTATTTGGGGATATTGGGGGTAAAACATATTTTTGCGGAAAATTTTATAGGACTATGTTTATATAACCTCCATATAAAGATCCCGCCCCATTTTCAGTAATATATAACGGAATTTCTCCGATTGACATCCAAACAATGGTTATTGAAAGCTTCAACAATATTTTCCAGCTACGAAAATCGTTGACCAAACACCAATAAAAGAGAAACCATTGGGTGTCATGTCAGGACTGTACGGTCGGCAAAAAACCAAATCCCTGTTAAAGCCATGTGTGACAGCTTGCATTGCGGTGGGAAAAAATTACGTTTTATTTTCTTCCTCGAACCGCTTTCATTGGATTTGGGCTGTTTTCTAATACCCTGGTTCTGTTTCGGGCTTCTGCGCATAGATCCATGATTCGTCACCTCTGACAATGTTATAAACCACTAGATCGTATATTTTCAAATTTTCTTTGCATCTGTTGACACTAAGTTTTTAAGGAATTTATGGAAGTATTCTGGTGGAAAAATATCCAAGGACCCCTTTTTCTACCAACACGGCGAATGATTCTGTGGCACAACAGCAACTTTTGGCTCAATTCCTATAGCAGACTATTCACACACCACACCTTTTGTAATTTAAAAGAAGCAATGCTTTATAATTTCAAATAAAAATAGCCCGTTGTTAATAGAACTACAGCCGTTAAATGTTTAATGAAAAATTTCACTACTCTTCGATTTGAGCTTAATTATCAATCCAAACAGTTATAATAATTTCAAATATTTCATCAATTCACAAGATTACACCCAGTTCTCTCATGACCATCTAAATATCAACTTTTAATTTTTGTTCAGAAATTTCATACGACATTTCTCATCAACTGGTCTCTAGCTTTAGCTATGCAGAATAACAACTTTCCCATAATATAACAGTTTAAGCTGATTACGTTAAACTATTGAGGACAATTTGCTGTTGAGGACTTTGGCGCAGCTTGAAAGTTCTATATATTTAAGAAAATAAAAATCTCGTACAGATAGTTTTCATGAGTGTGTGTGTGTGTGCAGAAGATAAAAACTGCATTTGTGAAAACTTGAAAATGCTTTTGCAAAATACATACAATGGGTAAATTGGCATTGGGAAAGTAAAATACATATAGACATACAGAGGCTCAGTAATGGTGGCTCAGTATTAACATATGTATGTACGACGAGTATGTTGCTTGGTTGCCAGTGCCTCCATGCTTGCATATAGGAAAAGTTGACGGCAATCATGTTTCAGTGCTCTTCACCATATCTCACTCACATGCCATGGATAATGGTGAAGTGGCGATGTCGTGTTTACCATGAGTGTGCCTGACGCACATGATAACCATAATACGGATGACAATGATGCTGATGCCGAGAGGACGACAATGGAAATGTTGCTGATGCTGACTGCTGCTGTTGCTGTTGTCATTGTTGTTGTTTCTGCTAATGAAGGCAATAGTGTTGCTGTTGATGATAGTAGTGATGTCGTTGTTTTAATTCTCATATTAATGCTAATACTGTCGTCCATGATGATGATGAAGACGACAACAACGATATTGCCAGTTGTGTTTATGTTCAGCTCTTTAACAGATTGTTCCCATTTTCTTCTAATTTTTTTTCAACTAGCTGGCCGTCTGTTGTTTTTTTTTAGACATTTGTTAGTTTATTGTGATGTTTGTTTGTTGTCGCTTAGTTTTCTTTTTTTCTTTTCGACCAGGATGTAAGTTGAGAGCCCAAGAAAAGAAAAATTGAAAATAAAGTGATGAAATGTGTTTGAGTGGGTATGTGTGTGTGTGCTTGTATTTGTGCTTATATTATGCGTTGAAGTGAAAGGCATTCCTTTTATCTGTTGGAAAATGATTGTAAAAGTCAACTTTAGATAAGTTTGTAAAGAAAGAAACAGATTTTTTTTCAGCAGTTTAACAAACAGCCTGCATAGAATTATTTTTCCTTTGGAAAAAACGATGGAAAAAAACTGCTGTCTACATTGAAAGATAAGAACCAGGTCAAGTGAAAAAAGGAAGCTGCTTTTATAGAGGATGTTTTTTTTTATATTTTTGCTTTTAAGTTTGTTTTAAGTTCATTAGCAGAATGGTAATAAATTAATCGCTGTATTTAAAGAAAAAAAGGAAAGTTTAATTTTTTCCGGAATAAAATAATCACATATATATAAAATTTAAATAATTTACTGAGAACCTTTAATGGGAGATAATAATATTTAGGAAATATAATATATATATATATATATATATATTGCGGAATATGAAAATTCCAATTCTGATTCGAAAATGATTGTTTGCATAGAAAAGTTATGTAATAAAAAATACAAATATAATAAACACATATTAAATATAATACTGATTTAGAGAGTTCGTCCTTGATTGATTTCGTTTTTGCATTGAAGGTGTTTAGACAATGATTATTACGATGATAGCAAATTGTTTTTTTTTTTAACATTTCATTTTATATTATAATATTCAATTGAACATTACATTGTCAGAATTCATTTTTTACAACTGAATGAATGCATAATTGCTCAGCAGAACATTTTTGTAGTAGTATAGATTACAATTTTATAATATCGTGTCTCGAAGGAACAATTACAACAACTAAAGTACTTATAGACAATATAAGCAAATTATTAAATTCTTAAATTTCATCTATAGTTTTTTTTTTATTTATTTCTCTTTCGAGATGAGCTACATGATAGCTTTTTTATTTAAATGATTAAAAGTATATATTAACCCCAATATATAGTAGTCTAGATAAATACTCATGGTAAAAATTGCAAAAATATAGAAACAAATATATCAAAAAAAATCATACGGCAAAATTAGGTCATTTGAAATAAGTTATACTTTATTTATATTGTCTCTTATAAGTGGATTATATATATATATATATAAATTATACACTTTTTCCATATTGTCTGCCTATGCAAATGTTCACATAACATATTAATGCATTATTGGTTTAATATATATATATATATATATATATAATTATTTTTCTCTAACAAAGTATTTATTAAAAGACTTAACAATATTTATTTTTTAACGATTGAGAGTCATAGTGACTTAAATACAAATATTAAATAATACGTCTATAGTATTGCTCGAAAAATATTTATGAAGAAAAAAAAACGTATGTTTAAGTCTTGAAAATTTATTTTTGAAAGTCTAGACTTATAAGTGGCATTTGAAAAAATGATATATATATATATAATATATATAAGGTAAACTAATAATATTTAAAAAAATTCCTCCATCTTCTTTAATTCACGCCTATTTCTATTTTCTAGTTCGAAAGACTAAAAAATATGTTTTTAAAACCAAGTCTATATATAAGGTTTGAGTCTAGAATGATGTCTGCCAAGTTTAGAGAAAATCGGTCCAGATGTCGATATAGCTCCCATATATAGTTTCGACCGATTTCATGTAAATGGTGCACCAAAGTCCCTATTGAGCGTAGAGTGATGTCTGTCATGTTTCGTGAAAATCGGTCCAGATTTAGATATTGCTCCCATAGCCTAGAATGCTGTCTGTTTCTTGAAAATCGGCCCAGATTTAGATATAGCTCCAATATTTTTATTTTCTTTAATTCACGCCTATTTCTATTTTCCAGTTCGAAAGACTACAATATATGTTTTTAAATCCAAGTCTATATATAAGGTTGATTTTTATTAATATTAGTTCAGTCATAAAAATTATTTTTTATATCAACGCCTTTGCTAAACGTTTCACTACCATTTTTTAGATGCACGCCTCTGTTGAAGGGTTCAAAACTATTTTTTAAAGATCCACGTCATTACTTAAGACTTGAAAATAATATTTACAAAAATTCCACTTTATTATTTAAAGCTTGAAAATAATTGGTAGAAAAGAACTTTGCCTCTGGTTAGGGCATAAGGCAGGGAAGACTATAGTTTCGGACCTCATCTCGGACCTAAACCTCATCAGTTAAAGAATTTTTAGGGATTGAAATATATTTTAATTTTTTTTAACTTTTTATAGTTTGACTTGCCGATTATAAAAAATTTCTTTTCTATCTTACATTTTCTTTTAATTTCTCATTTAAGTCACTATTCGTCTCAACCAGAGATGGTCTGTCAGAAACAGTGACGTAAATGACATACATTTCCGACGTATAATACATAGGTCAGAAACGTCGGAAACCTACCTAAATCCTTTAGGTTTTTGACAAAATAGCTATTTCCATTAATCAATTTGGTAATTACGCATGCTTTACTCAAATCGATATAAAATTTCAAAATTTTCTTCTCAAAAAAATTTAGAAATTTTTATCAGTTCTAGTAAGGAATTGTCAGATATATGTAAAAATAAAATATATTCTTGAAAATAACTGTATATGCTGATAATATTGATATAAATGACGTTTACTACGTTTATTACATTTTATACAGGTATATGACGTTTTCGACGTTTACACCTTTTTCACAGTCGAAAACCTAAAAATTCGTCTCACGGACCATCCCTGGTCTCAACACTTGTCTATACTTATAGTCACATAAGTACTTATTATAAATGCAGCCATAATTCTGTGTCATTTGCATCCCTACATTCTACTGCATTGAATTTTTATAACCATCCACTTGAATGTTGGCATTGTTGGCCACTCGGTCACATGGCTGATGGATGGATAGATGAATGAATGTGCCATTGTTCTCCAACATATTAGCTTCCTCTATCTGCTTACCTCCCTGTACCACAAACATCTTCTCCACATTAAAAAATAATATATAAGTATGTAGATTTATGCCGCCGCCATTAGATTGAGGTCACTTTTTTCCTTTCCAATTCATTTGTTATACGCTTCTGGTTTTCTGGTGATGATGGTTTCCCATATGCTGCCAGTTTATTTGTCTATTTGCTGGTGAGTGCATCAGAGCACTGCAGTCAGTGAAGACTTGGCACATTTCAGTTTTGGCTTTATGATTTGTTGTGGTTATTATCATACTATTTTCGTGTGTTTTTTTTTTGCTCTTCCTCGTTTTCATTTCACTTAAAATTTCGTTTACTCCAAAATTGGATGGATGGATGAATGGATGCAGTCAGTGAGTTCATGTTTTTAAGTCAAAATGCACCAAGAACCAAATGCTTTCATTTCTCTTCCATGTGAATGGGAGAGTGTGGTGTGTGTGTATGTAAAATAGTGGTTTATAGTTTATTTATTTTTGATTTTTTGTTTGTTTGCCTTTTGAGGTCAAAATGAGTTTTTAAATTTTGTTTGACTAATGTATTTTCTTTGTTATTTGAATGGAAACTGTTTGCAGACCAGAAATAAAGATTTATCATCACAACATTGAATGATTACTTTGGGTTTTGAATTATTATTTCCACTTTGTTTTTGGTAATGAAATGGAAAGTTTGGATAAATGTATGCGTGTTTTTGCCATTAAATATATAGAAATTTATTGTAATCATTTGTTATCATGAAATGAAAAATTTTTGTAGATAATAAAAACAAAATTTATTAATTTTTTTGCCAAGGAAAAATGTGGAATCATCGGAGTAATTAAATACAAAAAAAAATGGAAGTTAAGAAAGCGTTTTCAGATTCTTAGAGAGTTTTCGCAAGGAATATTTTTTAAATATTATAAATTTTCACAAATGTGTTCGGTGATTTTATTATACCCTTCTCCACACTGTGGTACAGGGTATTATGTTTTATGCATATGTTTATAACAGGCACAAGGAAACTGAGTCGATTTACGCATGTCCGCCTGTCCGTCCACTGATGTTAAATTGTAATCAAAGTACATGTCCCATTGGTGAAATCGGTTTAGATTTAGGTATAACTTCCATATTTATTATCGTCCGATTTTATGAAAACGGTGCACGAAAGTCCCTATATATCCTTCGATTTGTACGACAATTGCCATTGTGCACCAAACTGAGTCTTAAATGATGTGTGCTAAGTTTCCTGAAAATCGGTTCAGATTTACGTATAGTTCCCATATATATATTTTTTCCGATTTTATGTAAATTGTGTACCAAGGCCCCTATATATCCTTCGATTTGCATGAAATTTGGCACAGCGTACTGAATTAAGTCTGAGATGATGCATGCTATTGTTATTATCGTCCGATTTTACGAAAACGGTGCACTAAAGTCTCTATATATCCTTCGATTTGTACGACAATTGACATAGTGTACCAAACTGAGTCTTGAATGATGTGTGCTAAGTTTCCTGAAAATCAGATCAAATTTAGATATATATATATATATTATATATGTATATATATATATATATATGTAAAGTGGTGCACCAAGGCACCTATATATGTTTATAACCATTTGCACGAAATTTGGCATACACATACTGAATTATTTTCCGAAATCTCTTGCTAAATTCCTTGCAAATTTAGAATTGACATATAGCTCCCATATATATATTTCTAAAATTTTATGTAAATGGTGCACTAAAAACCCAATATATCCTTCCAAAGTTCAAATTTACCAAATGCGAAATTTGGCACAAAGTAAGTTTCCAAAAATTGCTTCAGATTTTTATATAGCTCCCATACATATTTTCACATTTTATGTAAATGGTGCACTATGTTCATTAAAAAATATATCCTTTTGGTCTGCACGAAATTTGGCTCAGAGTTGAACTATTCCAAAACTTTTCGCCTAGAATGATGTGTGCAAATCGGTTCAAATTTAGATATAGATCCCAAATATATTTACGTTAGATGATATGTAATTATACCCTTCACCACACTGTGGTACAGGGTATTATGTCTTTGTGCATATGTTTGTAACAGGCAAAAGGAATCGAGATAGACACATGGTTCCTTTTGAGAATATGCATAGAATCACATTCTGGGTCGATTTATGCATGTCCGTCTATCCGTCCGTCCATGTATTTTTGTGAGCAAAGTACAGGTCGCATTTATGATCCGAATTGGATGAAATTTGGCACAGCCCATTGGTTTGGCCCAAGGACGAATCCTATTGAAATTGGAGAAAATGGGTTAAGATTTAGATATAGCTCCCATATATATTTTCGTCCGATTTTAGGTAAATGGTGCACCAAAGTCCGTGAAAATCGTTAGATTTGCACCAATTTTGGCATAGCGTACTAAATTAAGCCGACAATGATGTGTGCTAAATTTCGGGAAAATCGGATCAGATTTAGATATAGCTCCCATATATAATATTGCCCGATTTTGGGTAAATGGTGCACCAAAGTCCCTGAAAATCAATAGATTTGCACGAATTTTGGTATAGCGTACTGAATTAAATGTAGAATGACGTGTGATGAGTTTCGTGCAAATCGGTTCATATTTAGATATAGCTTCCATATATAGTTTCGTCCAATTTTTTCGATTTGAACGAAATTTTGCATAGGGTAATGAATTAGGTCAAGAATGAAGTGTTATAAGTTTCGTGAAAATCGATTCAAGTTGAGATATTGTTCCCATATATAGTTTCGTCCGATTTTATGTAAATGGTGGACCAAAGTCTTTATATATCTATCGATTTGCACGAAGTGGTGAAGGGTATCATATAGTCGGCCCAGTCCGACTTTACTACTTTCCTTATTGGTTTTATTTTGTCAGACTTCAAGTCTGGACTCTCCCGACGACAAGATTAGATCTGATTGTACCTTATAATAGAAATTGAAGGAACAATTCTTGTATTTACAAAAAGTGGTGAAGGGTATAATATAGTCGGCACCGTCCGAATTTTGAACTTCCCTTATTGGTTAAATATACAATACTCCCCTCCTTTTCTTTTGAATTCCCTTCCCCCACTTCCACCTAATAAATATTCCAATTAAATTGAATTTTGTAATCAATTACCAACCAATTATTTTTCCGAATATGAAATGGTACTACGCAACGATCTCCCCTAATGCAAAGCATTTTTTTTATGGTTGGTAAGAAACATTATTAACCAACCTCCGCTAATAACAGAACAACGACCCACCTATCTCATCAACGTAACATAATTTCTATCCCTTGAATTGTTGTTTCCCTATAGATGTAAGAAGCATGGCTTTCCTTTTCAAATCAATCAAATCGATGATAGTCATCATCATCATCGCCATCATGGTCATGGTGATGATGATAACGATTGTCATGTCAACGCAATACAAGGAAATGTAACGCTTACGATTGTTGTTATTATTGTTTCATTTAAGAAATAAATTTCCATTTTCTGCGTTTCTTGGTTCGTTGTCAGCGTATCCCACAATAGCAACAACAACAACCACGACAACAAAACAATGTAAGTTGCATTTTGTCATTGATTTTGTTGTCTGCTTTATTCATCGTCGTTTACCACTTATCTTAAAGTTTACACTTGAATGAACATTGTTACAAATAGGATGGGACGATAATGGCTGGCAGCGTGGTGGTATAGCTAGCTGGAAACAAATCACATTGCGTGGTAAAGGCAGATAAACGAACAAACTTCGTAAAGAAAATGTATTCATATTTTACGAAAAACAAGCAGGGTTTCTCTTCCCTCCTATTTCAAGCAAATGTTCATCACGAACTCTCTCGACCTCACCTCAGACGAAAATGCCGTTCTACACTTATGCGGCAAACATTGATGATGGCGATGGTGGTATGCATCCAACCAACTATCCATCCATTTGAACATATGGTCGTTCCCTCGGTCGGCCACAAAACGCATATATTGTAAATTTTCTTTTAACCATGATGAGAGGTGGATTATTTAGATGAATGGGGTTGGGTATGAAATTCGAAATGCAATGGATGACCGACGAAGAATGAACCGACCAAAGGAACAACGAAGCGTTTCAATGGTCAATGGATTCGATTGTACCATTTCGTTGTGTGGATAAATGTCGGCTTTTCACCATTTGATGATGATCACTGAGCTGGGCAACGGTGATCGCTGTGATCTTCGGCTCCTTCGTTTTATGGAACCATGTATTATCATCCATGACGATACGTTTATTTTTGTCTCTGCTTCGTGTTCCTCTGCTATCATAGGCATTGTTGTAATAAAAATAACCCAACCATAAATTGTACGTCTTAAGGTTTTCCGTTATATGTTAATGTTCGACCATCGTCGCATCAATTTTTTTTATTCCTGTTATTTGTTGGATTTTATTTTTGTTTAGTATAGCATCACATATCCCATCCGTTTAGAGAAGAAAGTAGGCTGCCAATGGCAATTAGTTCCAAAAATAAAAACTAGCGAAACCAAATGTTGTTTTAGTAAACCCAGCCTGTCATTTAAATGTTTATATATATGTAGATACGTGTATTGTAGGTATAAAGTTTGTATTTACCATTCTAATATCTATGCGAACTAATTCGATAAAAATAAGAAAATAATTGCTGGAAAATGAGTCCGTGTTTGTTGCAATTTGTTTTGTTTGTTTGTCTTGTCTAAAACCTATCATTAGTCCTTTTATGCAAAATGAATTCGCCAGTGCGATTTTATTAAAATACGAGGTGTAGTTACAGAAAAAAGGTTGGAGAATCGGGACCGAGAAATTTGTACTCGTATTTAGGGTATTAAAATATTTGTGGATGGCTTTTCAAATGCAGTAGCAACCTAGAAAAATAGTATATTCATAAATGACCATCAGAATTTTTACGACCTGCAAAAGTCCACGGAAAGGATATGTGTTCCTACAGAACCTTGAAGGTTAAAGTCACTTTTTCCAATCGAAGTGGCTGTCATGTGGTCTATCGTGTACTCAGATTATGACCTACTTCTATGCATAAAATGTTTCATATGGGTCCATTTTATTTTACATAACCCTAATTTAAAACTCCCTCCAGATTTCAGTTTGTTTGAAGGTTTCATCCGAATTTTCAACCAAATTGGCTGTACTACATTGACATAGTGGGAGTTTTGCAGTATACACAATTTCCCCAGAACCATATAAAATTAATGTGTAAAACCTGGAGTTTAATCGTGGTCAACGATCGCTCAAAGTCGAATGAATATCTTGCATGAACTATAAGATCGTCACGACATTGTACATTTCGAGCTATGCACTCGATATTGCGTGAACATTAGGTCATGAAAAGGTTTTATTTTCGTTGGATCCTGCATAAAAACTCAAATCCTTTTTTTAGAGAAAAAATCCCTTAGTCTCTGATCCCTAAGTCTCTGAGACACTGAAAAAAACCTCAGGTTGCTGAAAACACTTTTTTCTATAAAAAAAAACTGAGGTCGCTGAGGACACTTTTTTCTATAGAAAAAATAGTCCTCAGCGGCCTAAGGAATTTTTCCTGAGGTTCCTGAGGACAGTTTTTTCTATAGAAAAAAAAATTCCTCAGGTCTCTGTGGACACTTTTTTCTATAAAAAAAAAAATTCATCAGGTCTCTGAGGACACTTTTTTCTATAGAAAAAAATTCCTCAGTAGACTGAGGACACTTTTTTCTATAGAAAAAAAAATCCTTAGGTCTCTGAGGACACTTTTTTCTATAGAAAAAATCCTCAGTTCTCTGAGGACACTTTTTCTATAGAAAAAAATTCCTCAGTTCTCTGAGGATACTTTTTTCTATAGAAAAAAATTTCTCAGTTCTCTGAGGACACTTTTTTCTATAGAAAAAAAATTCTCAGTTCTCTGAGGACACTTTTTTCTATAGAAAAAAATTCCTCAGTTCTCTGAGGACACTTTTTTCTATAGAAAAAAATTCCTCAGGTCTCTGAGGACACTTTTTTCTATAGAAAAAAATTCCTCAGGTCTCTGAGGACACTTTTTTCTATAGAAAAAAATTCCTCAGGTCTCTGAGGACACTTTTTTCTATAGAAAAAAATTCCTCAGGTCTCTGAGGACACTTTTTTCTATAGAAAAAAATTCCTCAGGTCTCTGAGGACACTTTTTTCCATAGAAAAAATTCCTCAGGTCTCTGAGGACACTTTTTTCTATAGGAAAAAAATTCCTCAGGTCTCTGAGGACACTTTTTTCTATAGAAAAAAAATTCCCCAGGTCTCTGAGGACACTTTTGTCAAAAGAAAAAAATCATGAGGTCCCTGAAGACACTTTTTCCAAAAAAAAATCCCAAGGTCGCTGGCGACACCTTTTTCTATAGAAAAAAATTCCTCGGGTCTCTGAGGACACTTTTTTCAAAAGAAAAAAAAAATCCTGAGGTCTCTGAAGACACTTTTTCTTAAAAAAAAAAATCCATGGGTCTCTGAGGACACTTTTTTCTATGAAAAAAACCTCAGGTCTTTGAGGACACTTTCTCAAGCCACTGGGGACACTTTTTATAGAAAATAATTCCTCAGATCAGGAACAAAAATCGCAAAGAAAGGGTCGTGTCGTTTTAGGCGTTTATATTATCGTCACATGTAACGACTAACGGATCATTGCGAAAACCTATGGAGAAAGAGCTTCAATGCAAAGGGTTGAATGTTTCATGAGCAATTCTGGTCATATGACAATCTTGGAAAACCTATGAGCAATTCCGTTTGAGTAATGTTTTCTTTTTACATTTATACCCATATGGGACCTATTAAAGCTCTTATATTCAAAGAATATATATTAAAGCTCTTATTCAAAGAATATATATTGGAATAATTATTTTCATAGAATAGTTATTATTCTAGAGAATAGAAGGCCATACCCTATACATATTACATATCCATCCCCAGAATACCTAATAAGATCTGAGCATAACTCTGTCATTACATATATATGAAATAAAACTTATATTCCTTACCATCTGACCCTCGTATATATCGCTAGTCCCACTATAAACGCAAAACTATAAATTTTCATAATGGCAGGCAATTGTACATTCACCAAAATTAAACGGAGGGGGTCAGGCATGTTCATTTAAAGACCCCCTGCAAGGGAACACATTAAATTTATTGACTCTAAATGCAGTTTTATTAGGCAAAACATTTGCAGCAAATGGAAAACAAACAGAAAGGGCCAAGGCTTAAAAAATTCCAAAATTTTCTAATAGGTAAATTAGGTACAGAAGGGTATGCAGAAAATGTATTTTTGTAACAGCAAGTGAGATGAAAATAAGTAACTGAATTTATAAAACAACTACAATTCTAATATTAATTATATATTGTGCCACTATTTAAATTTAATTTGTTTATTTTTCTAATATATGGTCATACTAGTTTATATATTTATAATATCCCCCTCCCATGGAAATTCTAGCTCCGCCAACCTATAATTTCATTTAAAAATGCATTTACGACTTAGACATTCTGTGTTCATTTGCCAGTTAAAAAGAACGGTAATTTAAAGTTAATTAATGCCATTGAATAATGTATGTATTATTTAGTTAGTTTTTTTCGACTTAACATTGAGCTGGTTAGTTCGCCTGGCTGGCATTATGCCTCGTTATTCATATTTCAGTTTCAGTATTTACAAAAAAACTAAAACAAATAAAGTGCGAATACTCCAACCTTGAACCACATTTCATTTCATTTGTTTCTATATGGACGAGTACCGAACGACCGACCGGCCGATTCACCGACCGACAGCTTGGACGTTTGCATTTCAATTTGAAATATAAAATTGGGTGCGAGTACATTTGTCTGTTTGTTTGTTCATGTTCATGACTAATTGTAGGCCATTATTATTTGTTTGTTTTTTCAGTTATACGTACGTAAATATATACCTATATGAGGAGCAGTATAACATACTTAATTTGCTTAGTGTCGGTTTCAGGTTGTTGGATTCGTTGGTGTGGTGTGGCGTGCCTTGTTCTTTACTTAATCCGACAACCGTACCATAAAATTTTGTTAGAAAAAATAAAAAATAAATTTTACATTGCGTTTAGTTTTTTGTTAAGTGAAATAAATTTAAATATACTTTGCAATAGAATTAAAGTCGAATTCAAGGTTAGTTGTAGTTACTTAACAATTGAAATGAGCATACACACAGACTTTTACATAAATACAAAAGAAATCTTCAGTGATGTATTAAGTTCTTTAACAATAAAATAAAAATAAAATTTTTGGCTAAGGTCAGTTGAATTACGAAATTAGATTTTCAAATAAGATCTTAGAGCAAACATGAAGTTGAAAACGCACAAAATAAATACAAAATAGAACATTGTTTTGAATAATAAAAAAAATAGTTAGCTGGAATACGTACAGAAGTTGCATGGATTATGACCTCCAAATTTTGAAGGTAAATTTAAAAGGGTTCCTATCCCTGAAAATGAAGCAGACAACTAAAAAGTGCAAACGTCTTTTAGTTCGACCGATTTTCGCCATAATTAAATTTTGAATTGAAATCTAATATTTGAATTGAAATCTAATATTG